TCATTCTCACCTACCTACGCAGTAGGTACCTCAAGTTGCTTCCCAAAAGAACCAAGTTCGAAGGGAGGTTGCCGCGTATGACGGCCAAGCATTCTCCTCTCTCTCCCAGCCTTGACTGCGTACTCCGTACTGATACAACTCGCCGCCTCGCGATAAACGAAAAGCTACATCACGTAGGTATCCTCGTGTCCTGCCTCCCTCCCTTGAACCCCCCATCCGACGTCCACCAAAAGGGTAAGCGGGGGTGTGGCATGGGATGGCACGATGTCTAGCTCGCATCATCGCGTGAATCACATGCGCGGTGCCTGCCCACCCCCTCCCCCTCTCTCCTAGCCTCTGGCGTCTCCTCGCGCGCTGGCTCCGCTCTCCGCACCTCCAGACCCCCGTTGTAGAACGCAGTGCATCCTCCCTAGACCACGATAGCGTCTATGTATCAGGTACATCACCTGTCATAATTCACCACGAAATTTCAGCGAGCGACGGGGACTGGTTCTTGACATGGCTCGTCCCGAGATGAAGTGTGGGGTTCGTCTTTTTTCGCTCCCGCGCGCTAGCCTGAGGAACATGAGGTGGTGCACGAGCTAAGTAGACATCGGTTGAACGCAACGGGCCTGGCCTGGCCTAGACGATGCGAACCAGACCAGACCAAACTCAATTGTGCGTTGGTGTCAGGTTTGTCACGGGCGATGAGCTGCACCACTAACAGATAGGTATAAAAAAAAATACCCCCCATACGTGCATTCAACTAGAAATAGAACAACATGCCCCCAAGACAGGACAACAAACGGTATTGTACCTCCTTGAATCAACTCGAAAGATGCCAGCTCGGTTATCTTTACAGTCCATCAAAACTGGGTCTTCAAAGGGTATCAGTATGCCGCCCAGACAAAGCAGATCCATCGCTCCAATCCAAAACACAGTCTATCATCCTTTGAGCCAGGTCTGTTTCCGAGGCAATAACATGGGGGATCTGGAACCCAAATGCAGCATCCTAACTGAAGAAAACAAACAACGCGCTCGCTAAGCAAACTCAATAAACTTCAGTCGACCGGCTCGCTTCCTCGGGGTATATGCGTCGATTACCGCTCGACCAATCTTCTGTCGCCGCCCTCGACGGCGCCGACATGCGCACCTCGCGCTCTGGAGGTAGAGATGTGTGTTCTGGGGAGGCCTCGCGCCCTGGCGACACCATCCCGCTTCCCGTAAGCGGGCCAAAAAACTCCTCTGGCGACTTGACAGCACCGTCTCTCCACCAGTGGTAGAGAACGTCTTGCTGCCACTTGTGCACGTTCCCAATCCTTAGCCGAAGAGTGTGTATAAACGTTGAATAAAGAAGTTCAACAGCAATCGGCGAAGTACGCAACTGCTGCAGAAGCCACCGCGTGATAAAATCAGACTTATCCTCTTCCTTGAACTCGCTGATCAGCCTAGAAATGCCCAGCTCCTTCTGAGATGCCCGCAACTGCGGTAGCGTAGCTGGGTTCGCCGCATAGATCTTGGCAGCGCGCCTCACCTCCTCAATGGCGGTCACCGGCTCTGGACGAAGTACATGGTCTGGATGGGACAAGAGTTCGGAAAACCGACCATGGGCCAGGGATCCGGATCTTGGAGGCGTGTTGTCGAGTGCCATGTCCTCGCCAATGTTGGGGTCGAGGGCGTGTGCGATTTCGAAGGACGGATGCTTCTTCATTGCGCCATTTTCTTCGCAAATCCGCTTCAGCCTGGTGACCTCTTCTGTCAGGCGGTCAACGTCCTCACGCTTCTCGTGCTCCTCTTCCGGATATTCGTCCATGAATTCGACTTCTTCCGCGTTAGGCTTCATCCCAGTCGATTTCTTGACGTCCATGCTGTACGTGTATTGCCTGTGATACAGCAGGAGATCGTCGTACTCTTCCTTCGCGTTGTTCAAGTCCCCAATAGCAGACACAAGGTCTTGCCAAAGCGGATGGGCATCGTCGGAAGGTCCGTGGCGGGAGATACCGGTGAGTTCATATGGCACATCCGGTTGCTCTTCAAATTCGTCGTCCTCCGAATCCTCATCCCGCATCCTTGGCCGGGGTTGTCTCTTGCTGCCGGCGGCCAAAAGACTGAAGAAGCGAGTCTCAGTGTTGTTGAGGTCTTCCTCTTCTTCGTCTAGTGAGACCTCAAGTTCCTCATAGTCAAACTCGATAGAGTGGTACTTTGTTCGAAGTGCCTGCATCTCTGCAAATCGCGCCTCCAACATTTGGTCGGATGTTCCGGGTAGACCACGCCGACCCTTGACAAGGATTGGGCGCAACATGTTCATGAAATTGTTGTCGGCTTCATCCTTTCTGCGCCGCAGATCTCGAAGAACCTTACGCCGGCCTGCCATGTCCTGCTTCAGCAAGTTCACCTGCTCACGACGATCCTTCATCTGTACCCATAACTGCTGTACGCCGTCATCCAGAGATGCCATGGACGCCGCCGAAGATGCATCAGAATCGATGAGGCTAGGGACGGAGCTCCTTGAATTCTCGAGTCGAGAGACTTTGTCCGTGATGGAGTCTGTGATGTGTTTCCTCTCTCGCTCAAACACTTGACGGTCTTGCACGGTGGGCATGAGTGGTGGGAAGACTACGCGATTTTTTTGTTCAAAATAATCTGCCTCCACAGAACTTGTATCGTCGTCTGAGCTAGTGTATTCGTGATGCCACGAGCCTGATGATAAGGACATGGACGGCGAAAGGCTGCGTTGCATAGGGACCTTTGCCGGCCCTCTATCCCTGAAAGCAGCATCGAGGTCTGAGGGCGGTGGCGGAGGTGGTGGCGGGTGTAGCAGCATGGTCGGCACTGGTGGCCGTGGTACTCGGGATGGCGGAGGCGGAGGCGGAGGCGGAGGATGAGGACGTTTGTGCCCGTGAATGGCCCGATAGGTAAGAGGACGTGGTGTATTCGGGCCTGAGGATTGAGAACCATGGTATTGTAACGCATCGGACTTTTGCCATACGGGTAGAGCTGCCATCGAGGGGCCAAGGGAGTTCGTTCGTGTCAAGGTCGGAAGAGGAGGAGGAGGAGGTGATGGTGATGGTGGTGGTGGTGGATGTGGTAGTGATAGTGATAATGGTGATGGCATGAGCTGGACGCTTTCGAGATAGCTAGCATCAGTAGCCGTTGCTTTGGGTGGAATGGCATGCTCGTGGAATGAGGCATCCCCTGACAAACTTGAAGCGGAGGTCCGTCGTTGGGGGCTTTTGGTCGTAGCCATGAAGAGAGGCTATGGTGCGTACTGGTCGTGGAATTGTTCCATCGCTTTGTGACGTTTGTTAAACCGACAAAGGGAGTGTTCGTCGTCGATGGTCGCTGGGTCGAATTTCGAACGGAAGGTGACGGCTTGAGAATGTTGTGGGCGTAGTCGACGCGGCTCGATCCAGTCACCACCTTCTTCAGGTGCTGCTAATTACGGATGCATGCCAACACTACTCCGTAGAAGCAGGCCAGCAACAACAGCAGCAGCAGCAGCAGCAGCAGCAGCAGCAGCAATGCAAACGTGTGAACAAAAGGATGAGTGCTGACCGAGGCGTGCAAGGCCGTTGGAGGAGCCACCTTGACTCCCTTTCTCGGTAAGCGGATCCACTTGCCTCCCGTGTGCTAGCCCCCTTTTGCACCTGCCTTCCATAGGTTCTGTGGTGGGTTGTGCCTTCCCAGCCGTTCAGCGGAGACCAACCAGGAGTGTAGCTGTAGCCATCCCGACGCTAGTCCCGATATGTGTCAGCACCTCAGCTAATGAGCCCGAGCTTCCGTGGGGGCCTTCTCGGCGGGTCCACACTGGGACCACTGTCACCACTGGCAGGTGGACACGGACAGCGCGGGGTCATGTCGAGCAGTCGTCCCTACTGGTGGGAAGTCATCCCACACCAAAATACAACTGGACGAGAAGCGCAGCCTGGTTCCATTTGTCTCTTTTCCAAAACTCTCGTACCGGTACGGAGTACAGAATTTCCATCGAGACGCGAGCCAACCGCCGCCGGCCAGCAACCTCTTCGGGCCTTCATACAGGCAGGGGTGCCGCCCCTTGGGTTGCACGCCAAACAACGAAGAGAACAGAGACGGGGGGTGGGCAAGCGGGTGCCATCTGTGAGACCACCTCGCGGAAGAGGAGAAGGCAAGCCTTTCGGGGCCTACTGTTGTTTCTTGTCCACTTTGCTCCACGCACCTACGGTGGGAAACACTCGATGGATGATGAAGTGCATTCGGCTTATCGACCCCGGGTCCATCGACCATAGGCACTTGGGAGGGTAAACTCGGGAAGAAAAGGCAACCGTGCCGTGCCACACCCTCTTCTCGTCGTTCTCCGTCTCCCGTTTCCTGTCTCACGCTCTCCCGTTTACCGATCTTCTTCCTCACACTCTTTCTTTCAGCCTGGGACCGACCTTCCACCTCAGTACATCCCCTTAGGATTCGAGGTCTCCTGCAAGACGATGCAGGCTCTGTGAAGGCTCATACCCTCCTTCCTGCAAGAGAACTGTCTGTCGCCTTTGCGCCAGTCACATCCCGCAAGATACGTCACGCGTTGCCGCACAGCTGCTTCGACCAATTAAGCGGGCACTCCCTTTTATCCTGTCGTGGCCCCGAGGCCTCGAGGCCCGGCTTGCCTGTCAAGGTCCGCTTGTTCGTTGTCTCTTTCTCCTTGAGCCTCAAGCTTACACCATCACCAAGACTCGGTCTCCGTCCCCGAACCCGGTCTTGCGCGGAGGCCCACCCATGATCGGCGCCGAAGTTCGAAGCTCTCCAAGTGTCGACACAAGATGCCATCATGCACAAGTCGAGCAGGTCAAGCAAACACAAGTCGAAGAGTGGAGGAGGGAGAGTTCCGAGTACGAGTGCCTGGAGTGAATGGCTTTGGCATGAGGGCTACCAGAAGCATTACATGTGCCGCCAGAAGAGCAATGGTGAGTCATGAACCGTGTGCTTCGAACACAACTAACGTTCAAAGGTGAATGGGAGTATCGCTGGCAGGATGTTGCGACGCCAGCCCCGGCGCCGCAAGACGACTTCACTCCCCGAGCAGTAGACGAACTCACGGAAAACATGGACAACCTCGACCTGCCACCTGCCACCGAAAGTAGTTATGGATACGAGGGCCAGGATACTGAGCATAATGGCGAGTTGGGTGACAACGTCGCATAGCCGGGGCTAACCCTGCTGCAGATCCATCATACATGTATGAACCTTCGACGACATCCCATAGCAGCTCAGGTCGATCTAGGAAGGGGAAAGAGACAGCCTACGCCCCAGATCCTCATGATGGGGGAGATCCTCCACCCGAAGATCCCCCGGCGCCGCCCTTAGATCCATTTTGGGGCGCCGAAGGTGGCACCATTGGACTACAGGACGAAGAGTGTAAGTGAGTGTACTCTTGTGAAGAGTGTCTAGCTAACAAATCCACAGTAATTCCTCCCCAAGGTGGTGCAGAAAGCCTGTATCACGAGTCCGAGGGATATGGGGCAGCCCATGATCCAATCCCGGCTACGTACAGTCAAGGTGAGACACTCGACTTAGGGAGTTTGAACCATGCTGATTCCGGTAGACTCTGGGTACGCAACGGCCGACTTAGATGACTTCGATGACCCGATTGTGCAAGAGGCTATGTCGAACCGCAACGAAATGTATGGGACTTCCGGTCATAGTGGACCATCAACGGAGCCCGCATATGGTACAGGTAAGAAATAGGCGATATCCTTAGTGACATTCCCATGGCTAATTACCCAGACAGCTTATCCAGCATACGAGGAGGACGATGGTGCGGCAACGCCGAAGGGCCGGCAAAGCCCTACGCCATCATTCGACATAAGCGGCACTCACGGGTCTGCTGAAGATCTTGATCCTCGTGAGTGGATCCGTCCATTTACATCTCGTACTGCTGACTCTAACGATTTGTAGGTTACGTCGTTGAACCGTCACACAAATTCCGACCCGGATCGGTAGGTAACCCGACAATCGAATACTTGTGGCTTACTAACAGTGGCAGGTTTTCAAAGTCTTATGGTCGGAGCCATCCGGCTCTCACGCCGCAGGAAACTCAACGATATCCGAGAAGCAGCAAATCCAAGACCAATTCGGAGGGTCTGTGTTCATCGGTTTCAGGCGCTTCATTGTTATTGCAAATGACGAAGGGCACTGCACCTGCGTGTACGTTGGCGTCAACCATTTTGTGGAAACTTTCACTGACAGTTCAGGCCAATTCTCACGTACCAAGGCAAAGCTTGCAACAAGAGGGGCGTGAAAGCCCACAAGCACGGCATGATCTATAGCCACAAGCTACATCGACCGCTTCGTGACGAGCCAAAGCTCGGCTTCCCACCAGTCCGGGCTAAGATCACGATCGAGGGAGAGAAACTCGCCAAAGAATCGCGCGTCAACTACTCCAAGCTTGTCACGGTTGAACACAATGTCAAGGTCTTCTTCATCGGCTACATTAGCCCTGACGACTTTGAAGACGTTGAGTACGCTGTTGATGACTGCTGGGAGAAGAAGACCCGAGCGAAGAAGAAGTCAAGAAAATAAGCAGACGACTTTGTTTGCAAACATGTTTGCGTCTCTGTCACAGCTTGTGATGGCAGCACATTTTAACAAATTATACGTTCGGAAGAAGCTAGGTCCGCCTACGCTCCTCTATCACGATGAGACGACAGTCTATTTTGCCGACCACCCGGCTCATTTACTACGATATTATTGCGGAAGCTATGTTATGATGATTCGCATGTTATCAAACATTTACTTGGATTTATCCGGCATGAGATTGTTATTCACAGGGAGTTGGCAGCATTAGCAGCAGCATTGATGCAGGCCTCGAACAACAGTGGAGAACATGGGAACAGGCCATGTACAGATTGCATTATTAGAGTCTTTTTTTTTTCTCATTTCGCGTGCATATCTCATCAACACGATCACGAATCTCATCTACCTACTATTTATTACCCCAAGATCGGACTACTTACTCAGCCTCTGATTGTGAAGTACCCTGCATATGAATTACGATGGGGCTGCGCCGCAAACCCGAGACCCAGCGTCCTGGATTAAGGCAGCCGTACCTTACATTGAATTTACAATTCCTGTCTGGTGTTATTGCACTTTTATTCCCCAAAGGATTCCGAGCGGCGAGGACCACTACGTAGGCAGCGAAAAGGCAAAATGCTGTGCATCAGTAATCGGCCCCGACCCCACGCTTTTCCCCGGTGTGGACCCGGCGTCTGGGAAACTGGAGCTAGCGGGACAGCCGAGGCTCGGTATCTTCTCCCCCGCAAACGTCACCGCCCGGGGTAAGGTCGGTCTAAACTCTGGGGAGAGAGTAATTGATTGATTACCTGTACTGATTTCCAATCCAGGACCCCTTTTCCGTCGCTCTTCCTCCTACACATTTCTGTTTCTTTCCTCCCCCTCGTTTCTTCAATTGCTTTCCCTGACTAGGTTTACCATAACACCAATTGAGTACAGAAAACCAAGAAAACATCGTCAACAATGGCTGAAGCACAGCTCAACGATTTCCCTTCCCTCTTCTCCCTCAAGGGCAAGGTCGCCGTCGTCACCGGCGGTTCCCGTGGCCTCGGTCTGCACGCCGCCTCAGCGTACGTTTGAACCCCTCCTCTCCTGCATGGTTTTCCTTTTCTTGCTTCACGGAAACAATGCCATCAAGACCCCCGACTGACGATAAAGGAAACAACAGCTTCCTCCAAGCAGGCGCCTCCAAAGTCTTCATTTCCTCCCGCAAGGGCGCCGCCTGCGACGAAGCATGCAAAGCCCTCAACGCCCTGCCCAACCTCCAGCCCGGCGCCGTCGCGATCCCGATCCCCGCGGACGCGGCGTCCATCAAGGGTGTGGAGCACCTCGTCGCCGAAGTCAAGAAGCACGCCGACCGCGTCGATATCCTCTTCGCCAACGCGGGCGCTACCTGGGGTGAGGCGTTTGACACGCACCCGGACGAGGCGTTTGCCAAGGTGATGGATTTGAACGTCAAGGGTGTGTTTAACACCATTCGGCTGTTTACGCCGTTGCTCGAGAAGAGCGTTGCTGCGAACAAGGGCGGCAACGGGGAGCCGGCAAAGGTTATCATCACGGCTTCCGTTGCGGGCTTGGGGATCGGCACGCTGGGGAAGCAGGGCACGTACGGGTATAGTGCCAGCAAGGCGGCCGTGTTGCATCTCGGTCGTAACTTGGCGCTGGAGCTTGCGCCGAGGGGGATTACGGTGAATTCTATCGCCCCTGGCTTCTTCCCGAGTAAGATGTCGAATGGCCTGCTGGAGATGGGCGGCGGTGCGGATAAGATTGGAAAGGGGAACCCGATGGGAAGATTGGGACGGGCGGAGGATATTGCGGGCGCGGTGGTGTACCTTGCTAGTCGGGCTGGGTCGCATGTTAACGGGGAGGTTATTGCCATTGATGGCGGTTCGTTGTGGCAGAGGGGGGAGTTGAATGTTCCTCCTAGCAAGTTGTGAGGAAGCTTGTCAGCTGAGGTTGGTTCTTGTACTAGAGAGAGTGTGTAGATTGGAAAATGGAGTTTTGAACAAGAATATGGATTTTTTGCGCAAGGCTTTCAGTGCCTGGGCATCGAGTCTATCATGCTTACCTTGATGCCGTGAATTTGTATCGCATCCCTACCTCCCATGATATATACAGATAATAATTCAAAGCCACATGCAGAACCAACAACTGGGGAGAAGAATAAAACACAGTTCAACGCACGAAATTCTACAACGGCTTCCTCGCCACCCAGAAACTCGCGCGGTACGTCGTATGCAACATACTCTCCCCATCATGAATGTACGGCGCCTCAATCCCCGTCTCACGCTTTTCCACAACAAAGCCCACCCTTTCGACGAGCGCCATGACCTCGTCATCACTCAGCTCGAAGCTACCCGGGTCCGCGATCCCCGACGAGTTATTCGCGTCGTGATCGCCGTCGCCGTCGGTATCCCGTCCGTGGTTCCCGGGGGCATTATTCTCAAAGTGCCACAGCAGAGGACCGAAATTGATGAGTAGTCCACCGGGGCGGAGGGCGTGGTGAATCGTCTCGAGGTACCGAATCAGATTCGGCGCCGTGTCGAGGAAGAACACGGTCGCGACGGCGTCATAGGCTTCAAAGTGTTCCTCGTCCGCGTACAGGCATAGAAAGTCTGCGGCGCACATGGACATGCTACCTATACCCGTCCCGGAAGCCTGCTGCACCGCCTGCGCGTGCGCGAGTTCCGTCGCCGGGTGGATATCCGGCACGGCGCAGCTCCGGAGGTGATTTGCGCGCGTGCGGTGGTTGGAGAAGGAGTGGACCCAGGGGTATATCTTGTGCTGGCCCGCTTGCTTGGTGCAGTTTAGGATGTAGGAAGAGGCGAGGAGCTGGTGGTAGGAGATCTCGTTACCCTCTGCGTCGTGGCCGTTTAGGCAGAGGTCGTAGACGAGGCGGCCTAGGCCCGCGCCGGGGACGAGGACTTTTAGGGGTTCCGCATTCACGGGGGCGGCGGCGGCGTCTGCTGCAGCAGAAGAGGATGAATGCCGGGCCTTGCGTTCGCGGTCGAGGGCTTCGAGGATGGGACCGTAGCATACGCTGCGCTCCGCGGCCCCTTCTGCGGTCCAGTCGCGGTAGAATTGGCGGAGGGTGCTACGGGCTTTATCGGTGTCGCCGTGCTTGGCGACGCCGACCCAGGGGTCTGGGAGCTTTGGTTCCTCTGTCGAGCCCTCTGGTACGAGGTGGAAGGAGCGCAGGCCGTTGTGGGCGATGGCGCGGGCGAGTTCGGCGTTGGACTCGATTGCGTCGTCGGTGCGCTCGAGGGTGTCGAGGAAGTTGAAGGGCGGCGCGGCGAGGAGTTGCCAGTGCGCCTGGGGAAGGGCGTAGAAGGATTGGCGGCGGAGGTGGGTTACGTTGAAGTGTGCCACTTTTGCGTATTGGCTGTGTGGATGGTTAGTGAGTTGAAGAAATGAGGTTGTGGTGGTGGTGGCGAGGAAGATGAGGATGAGTGAGGGAGTGAGGACGTCTACTGGTTAGTCAGGAGAAAGAATCCCGCCTTGCGGAACTCATCCATGATCTAGCAATGGCCTCTCCATACAATTGAAAACCAGGCACAGGAGAAAAAAGCATGAGCCACTCACAGAAAAGAGTCAAGGGCGCAAAAAATGACTCTCGTCTCCTCGGGATCGTCAACCGTGTTCTCCATGCCGCTCCATTGCTCGTCGTCCGCCATGGCTGGCTGGTTGACTGGCTTTCCTTTCCCAAAATTTCCTTTCCTTCTCTGACCCTCGCGCGTCCGACGTCCCTTCACCAGAGTATGGAGCGTGAAGATTGTCCAGTCCAACAGCACTAAGCCTGGAACGCTGGTGAGAGTAGTTGCGTTTCCCTGCGTTTGGTGTGATGGTTGGCTGCGCAGAGTGATTCAGATGAGGGGCAATTATTCCGAACCGCCCAGCATACAGAAACCAGCTTGACAACTAGGATCGGGATCGAAAGCCGGTGAAAAATAGCGACTGTCCTCCGGATCCGGTGCGATTGAGAAATGAAGCAATTGAAATACCTTGGAATGCCGAGACCGTTGAGAAAAGCAGAGAGAAGGCGAGCTCTGAGAAGGCGCAAAAAGGAGTCATGAAAAAAAGCTATCAAGAGTACCCCGCGGCGTCGTTGGTCCATCCCAACCACCCCGCCGAAAAAAAGGGTCCCCCCCGCCCCTTTCCCCGACAGCGGCCGGCGGCTGCCGCGATCGCATCCTGCATGGATCAAGCTCTCCCCCCCCCCACCCGAGCACCGGGGCCAGAAACCTTGCGGTGCGCTGAAGCTTCCCCGTCGGATTACCAATTGACGCAGGTCCCACGGCTGGGAAAGCTCAAAACCCGCGGACTCGAAAATCAAGGTAGTGTGAGTATCCGCACCTTACCATTCAATCAAAAGCTCCTCAGCTATAAGACAGCTTTATATCAGTAATAAGACCGCTATAACATGTAATCCAATTCAACCCCCCTTCAAGACCTGATGAGAATTACATTCAGATGCGGAGTGAGGATGTTGCTTTCTCGCTTGGCTGGTCTCATGACCACAAGTTAGCGGATTCCAATGAGTATGCTTGCCCAACACGACGGCGGCATCTTTCCGTGAATTGCAAACCGATAAGACGTCGACCAGGGGAGGGCACTGAACCATGATGGCCACAGTGGAGGTGGAAAGCACTCTCTCAAACTAAGCACTACGAGAAGCTGGCAGAAGTTTCTAAAACATCCTATGGTACTACGATATAAGAGAAATGAGGTACCCAGATATACATACTCAACCTCTCATCAGGATGGCTTCCAGTGCCAACTATAAATGCCCTCACCTTCTACCCAACGAGTCCCACTTGACTCTCACTCTACATCACAATTCGACAAAAAAACAAAGTATCTTCAACACCCTGACATCACATCGAATCGAATCACCACTACACACTTTCATTAATGAATCTCATTTTCATTTCCCACAATCATCAATCTACATGATCGCGTTTGCTAATCTACACATCCCATCCTGGAGGGTAAAAAAAGTCCTCAATACCATAAAATACTATGAAGCATCCCAACGCCCAAGGTCTCAACAATGCTCGCCAATCGCAAACTTCAACCCCCCATTCGTTTCTTTGTGTGTGTGTTTGTTCTTCTCCATCTCCCCCATCGTCGAAACAGTATAGTATGCTTGCTTTATCAGTCTGGCTCATCACACCTCATTTCTTTCCACCTTCGTTTCCATCATCATTCAATTGACTGACCATCATGACTCAGTGATCACGGTGACGACGCTCCTTTCTCCTCTTACGCCTCTCATCAGCATAATCACTGCCCACAGCACTCTGGCTGCTCAAGCCAGGAATGACGTGGTGATACGACTTGTTCCCCATATCGCTCTCCACTGCGCTCGTGATATCGCTCTCCGCCCAGCTACCAGGCATACTCGGCTCAGGCTCCTCCCTCGGTGGTGGAAGCGCGTAGCCGCGCGTATTCTGATCCTCGGCAACGGTGCTCGCCCGCTGGAAGCTGAAATCACGTCTCGAGCTACCCGCAGCCCGGCCCCGCTCCTGCAGCTTCTTGGCCTCGGCGCGGATACGCTGGCGTTCGCGCTCCTCGTTGCGGTCGGCGGTACTGTACACTTTACGGATACCGCCGCCGCCGCCGCTCTTCTTGTTGGGCGTCGACGTCGGTGTGGTCTGCTGGCCCGAGAGCAAGCTGGTCGAGACGTTGGATTCGGTAGGGTTCGTCGAGCCGTCCCACTCGGACGCCTCAGATTCCTTATTCAAACCGCCGACGCGGGCGGGCTTCTCGTGGCGGTATGAGCGGAGATGCTTCTTGGCCGCGCGTTCGGCCTCCTCGTCAATGAGCACGCCGGCCTCGTCGTAGTTTTGGGATGAAGGCTTCTCCTTGTGGCGCGCGGCTTCCTTCTCCCTGCGTCTCTTCTCCTTCTTGCGCTCGCGCTTCTCGCGGGCGCCGATATCGCTAGGTCCTGCAGTGATGCCGGACAACGTAGTCCCCGAGATGCTCGTCTGATTGTCGTCGTAGTCCTTGTAGACGCTGCCGCCCCCGAGCTTGGTCGACTTGGTGGCGCCAGACAGCAAAGTACCGTTGGGACCCCTGCGGCGCAGCACCGTGGTCTTGTAGTCGTCCCAGTCGTTCTCCTTAAAGTAGAACCCTCCGTTTCTGGCCCAGAAGAAGAACCAGATGCCCGTGATGATGATGGCGGCGCCGATGAGGCCGAAGAGCACAAAGATGGCCGTGTTGTTGATGTCGGCCGGGTCGGTGACGCCGACGTGGGGGTCCTCCTTGTAACCCGTGCTATCGCGGGCCAGGAGGAGGGAGCGGGCGGCGATGGGCCCGACGGAGCCCGCGTCGATTGATCGAGCCGTAATGTCTGCTGTGTCGGGGAGGCTCGAGAGTCGTCTGGCCGCGATGAAGGAGCGGGCTTGGTGCGCCAGGCCGTTGACGACGGCCGGAGCCATGATTGGCAAAAGCTGACTTCAGTTGAAGTCGTGGTACGTGGTGAAAGCTTTTTTTTTTGTTGCAGTAGTAGTCGACGATTGCTGGCAGGACTAGCGATCAATGGAGGTGAGACTGGAATGTGGTTGTGGATGCTGTAGATGGAATGCTTCTCTCCAGTCCACTTCGGAAAATGGGTAATGCACACTTCTCTCTAGGCGGAATGTCGAAAAAGGTAGGAGGTGAAAGTTGCCTGGCCAGCTGCGTGGTGGCGGATGGCTTGTTCCTATAGAAACCAGAAATTGCCGTGGCTGGGGGATGTGCGCGAACAAAGTGAGGTGGTTGGTGGGGGAATGTGCCTGGGGGTTGCTTCCCTGTTCTCTCTCGGGATTTTCCCCTTGCGCCTGCACAAGGCGAATGTGGCTCTGTCAAATGGAGAAAACACACCGACTAGCTTGTTCCTTACTTCTTCAAGTCGATGCGACCTCTAAACTCGTATTCTGGTGTCTGTGTTGGCAAAGCCGTGTCCAGCACGTCGCGCCTGCCGCCTCCCCAAGCTTCCTTCCCAACCTCCCAATGACGTCGAAAGTAAACACACCCCACCCGCAGCCCAGCAACCGCACTCATCTCGACTCACTTCACTCACCTTACCTTACCCAATCACATAAAACCATGCCACCCCCTTTCCTCTTTCGTCAAGCACCATCCCGTCCCAGGCCAAAAGGTCAAAAAACGGACACCAACGGACGACGGTGCCATTTCATTCGAACCGTTGCGTCTCCCGTGCCGCCATACGGGAACGCACACGGAATCCACATTCAAAACCGGCCGCCCGCGAGCCGTTTGGCCCGTTGCTTGAAAGCTTTCCCATTTCCAACACGCGCTGAGTGCTGAGTGACATGACATGTTCCTTGCGCCCCCCATCCCACATCCGGCCATCTATCTAAGAATAAAGGATACCTACAAACATCCATACCAACAACGCCCCAGAGACCTAGACTATGCATACCAGCATCGCAAAAAGAACAAATAGAAGCGCTGGCCTTCTTTCTCAGACCTCAGATCCCAGCGTCTCCCAAAACGAGCCCTCCATCGACCTCCCGAACAGTGAACTAAACCACCCCGTTTCAAATATGTATCACAACGCCGGCGCCAACAGCTAAACGCTGAAAGAAGCCCGGGAGTCTTCTTCTAACCAGGGGGACGGGATCACGTTCGCTAATTGAACCTCCGAAATTACTATGATTGGTCTTGCAAGAGCACAGGAGAATAGAATGAAGAGGGTCAGACGTTCAGTTACTGTAGAATTCCAGAGGCAAGTCTAAAGTATGAAGTGCGGCCTCCCATCAACCGGGTTGCTCGGAACGGGCAAGTGATTAACCCCCTTTTTCATCCCCCGCGGTCCTCCGTATTAAAATGGAAGAGGGGTGTGAACCTATCAAAGATCAACATACGACGTCCTTCAACACCATAATCACGAGACAATTGATCATTCTACAAACGAGAGAGAGAGAGTTGTTGTTGTTCCAACATGTTTATTTCATATGCGGCCTACACGGCTCAGCCATGTTAGGGGTATCTTGTCCTTTGCCGCTCGAATAAAAAGTAAAAGAGATGGGCAGTTGATCATCCACTACGAGATCCCATACACCATAATAGCCCCGTTCCAAATTTCCCCTCCCTTTTGATACCTGCCCATCCCAAAGGGCCGGGGGCCTGACTGGACTACATCCTTTCGTAGTCCCAACGCCCCATGCCCATGGCTCTGGAGAGGGCAGCCGAGCCCATACCAATAGTATCCTGCTAACATTGTTCTCTAAGTAGAAATGAAGGAAAAAAACAAAACCGCGCAGGGTAGCTAGCTAAGCATAACAATTTGCTCAATACTCTTCTCCCTAAAAGCACAAGAAGTGCGAACTTCCCGGATTGCCGATACAGGTTGTCTATCAAAATCGTCCAGCCTAAATGCCGTGCTTGGAAGAACACGACAACCGCTCCGCCCCGTAGGAGACACGGCCATGTCGTATAGCAAGACACCCATGTCTCCTCCCCAGGCAAGAGACTGGAGAAAGTCTCCGCATATGCCCAGAAGAATACACTCCATTATCGTGTCCCGACCCTACAAATTCAAAACGCCCGCAGGTCTCACCCGGGCCGCACAGCCATAATCGGCACATACATGATTCTTCCTGTAAATGGTATAAAAATGCTTGGAAATGTGAAGAAGAAAGGAGCAGAGCTCGCGACAGCCTCTGCTTTGGGTATAAACTTTTCCGCTACCAGAAAGTCGACCTAAGCAGTTGCAGAAGCAAAGAAGGAGAAACGAGAAATAAGGAGCCAATCATATCGATACAGCTTTCAATCTGAGTTCCAAGTGCAGAAACAACGCTCGCTCTGATGAAAATCGTGCAGAAAATGAAAAAAAAATAAAAAAATGTGTGTCGCTTCATCAACTCGTCATTGTCGTTGTAATTCGATTCATGTAAACGGAATGCGGAATTGTTCGTAGTCGCCCGCTTGGCTACGGCTGTAGGAGTCGGCCTGGCTTTCGGATCGATCACGGAGGGCGGGTCGGTCCATACGGCTACGACGTTCATCAGAGTAGACGGTATCCCTATCGCTCCCACCAGCAATGCGTGCTGCCTGGCTGATGTTGATTTCGCCACCATCCTGGCACTGGATTTCGGCGTTACCAACTCGGAGGACGGCATGGCCAGTGACTTTGATGGTGATGTCGTCGCCATCAATGGCAGAAGATCGGGTGGTTCGTGTGGTGGCGCTTCGTAGGAAGTCGCTTTCGTCAAGGCTGTCGCTACTTCCACTGGACCTGCTGCTCTTGCTCTTCTTCCCAGCCTTTGAGAGAGCCGCAGCAGTCAAAGGCACCCCGCCGCCGCTTACGCCGTTCTGGTATGCCATGGCAGCAGCCTGGGCAGAGTCGTACTTTGTCTGCGAGTAGCTACCGCTTTCACCGCCAGCCATGTAAGAATGGCGGCGGCTACTGCGGGTAGGTGCGGGAGCGGGTGCAGGCTCGATCTGGTATGCACGATGGCTGTACGTGCTGGAACCCCTGCGGTGACCACGAGGCCTTGCAACAACGCCATCGTCGTATTGATAACCATGAGGAACGATGTCCTGGTACATGGATTCTTCGCCATCGAAATCGTCAGAGTCATAGCCCTGGGACATGATCTGGCGCTGCTGGGGGTGAGGTTGGGGTGGGGGACGGAAACCCTGTTGAGGAGCAGTCGTTCGTGAACGAGGCGGTGGCGGCGGCGGCATCAAGTCGCTGTCTCTGTCCCGGACCTTGAGAGATGGTCGTCTGCCGATGGGAATAGGAATGTTCTCTTGCTCGTAAGTGGGACCGGGGCCGTGGCCGTGGCCAGGGCTAGGATGATAGCCGTAGTTGTCGTACTCGAAGGAAGATGCTGACATGGACCGGTGTCCCATGGCCGACGAAGGCCTTTGTTGGAAGCGATGAGCCAAGTTCGAATGTCTGGGGCTGCTCGCGACAGGGGTAGGCGGAAAGTAATCATTCGACGGCGGTGGAGGCGGGTGGTGCGGCGCCTGCATAGGGTAAGGGACACTTCCGGGACCCCAGGCGCCAGGCGGTGCCCCATACGAAGAGCCAGGTGCAGGCGCGAACGGAGACTGCACATGCGGTGATGGGTGAATGGGAATCGGCATAGGAGCGGGAGTAAAGGGCGATGAAGCATGAGAGGAAGGCGGTGCGTGAATAGACGGGGCAAATGGCGATGCCGCAGCCGGGGTGAAAGGCGAGACGTTGTTCGCAGCATGCCATTGCTTATTGGAGGTGGGCGGTCGGGAACCTTGGCCGTAGTAGCTCGCAGGTCGACTTGAAGCTCGGGGACGCGAGCCCTGTGCCTTTCCCGGCTGCTGTACACCGTATTGCGAGGCTTCTTCCTCCGAGAATTTCGGTCTTCTGTATTCATCTGGCTTCTGGGCTGTCTTCTGGGTGTGGACGACGGGCGCCGTGTTGACGTGCTTTGTGGAAGGACGGATTGCGGACTTTTTGGGGGCAGGCCGGTCGCGCTGCTGCTGACGATCGTCACGCTCGCGCCGCTCTTGGTCGCGAAGCTCCTGCTCACGGCGTACAGCCTTTTCCTTTTCTTTCTTGATGCGGTGTCTTTCCTCTCGATCATCTTGACGAGCTTGCTGCTCTCTTGCAGCCTCCTTTTCGGCGGCCCGTTCGTTAGCCCTTTGGAGGGCCTTTTCGGCGGCTCGGTCCGCAACCCGTTGTTCGTGTCGTCTTGCCTTATCCCTCGCTTTCTTGTCTGGAACAGCGGGGTGGATGGTGTCGTCCGAGTCGGTCTGGCCGTATTGCGGGGAGGTGGAAATCGGTCTCGTCATCCTGTCCTTGCGAGATTTGCTGCTGTTTGCCTTCTCCTTGGATGGGCTTCCTGGTGCTAGTGACTGGGCGTATTTATTGGAGCCCTGAATGACGAAACCAGTCTCCTCGTCGACGTCTTCGACGCAGGCAACTTTTTTGGGGGCCATAGTGAAGCGATGTCGATAGTCGTAATGGGCTATAGTATGGTGATGTGAGCTCGGTAGTCGAGCGACTGGTGTTCGGAGGCAAAGGTGCCTCTGTCGAGACGAGCAATCGTAGGTTCGTAGCAAGTAATCGAAGGTGTGGTGAACTGGGGGGGAACAGCTTGGCCGCGGTGGGAATCGGGAACTTTTTTGTATGAAGGGCGAACGAGAAAGACAGTGGGGATACGGAAGGGGATGCGACCACTATCTGATGGAGGGAGGGCCCGTATTTGTGGGGATGAAAATCTGACCAGGATGGGGGGTGGGCGTGAAATTGGGTGTGGGAGAAAATGAGACGCTGCGGATGCTGGTGCTGATGCTGGCTAGGTGTGAGGCCGGGTTACTTGTTCGTTGTTGGCTGCTTGTTATAGGCGGAGAGGGCGAGAGAGACGGAGAGTAAGAGTCAGAGTTGACGAAGTTATCATGGATCTTCAGGAGAAGCGCGGACATTTGTTGAATCTGTTGTTGTGTTGTGTATACAACGTGGGATCGATGATCCAAGAGACGACGGAAGACCGTGGCCGTGGGCGGGCTGTGGACGAGCGTGCTATCTTATTAATCCTGACTTGCCTACCTCACCCTATGCTTTGCATTGCAGGAAAGGTAAGTATGGTACTTCGTTTGTACGGATACCTTTGGATAGGTAGCGTGAGTGCGTGCAGTTACAGTGTAATGACTGCGGCTTGCGCCGTGAGAGGAAGAGTCTGGAGCGAGGGAGGGGAGGGCGAGTGAGGTGTGTGCGCAGCCCAGCAACTCATTCGCAGCACCATCAGAGAAAAAATAGCTTACAGAAAAGCCAATCGTGGGGATGGCCTGGACTTGACGACCCGATGGAGGGGTGTGGTCACAGCAAAAAAAGGACCTGACAGCGGATGAGGTCGTCTCGTTGCCCGGGGTGCTCTGCCGCTCGTCCAGTGTCACTCCAATGGCCGGCCAGCGCTCGACGATAGCGAGCAACCTCAAGTACCTCGAGAGAGAGGAGGAGGGGCGTGTGCCTGAGCCCGCAAATGGCTGTGAGAGCTCTGATGGATCTGTAGCTTGGCTCCGGCTTTGATGCTCGATTATCCGAGGCGGACGGGAGCGCTGGAACGGACTATGCTTTGCGGGAGACGGAGGACAGGCCTGCAACGTTGGAGAGGGACGGAGAGGGGGAGAGTGAGGGTGTGCAAGAAGATGGTTGCTGGTGCTGCCCAGCTTGCAACGTCTCCCAAGTCACAGAGTCGAATACCGGGGTCTGCGACTGTCAAGAACGTGTGTGAGTCTGGAGAAGCATGGGACCCAAGGAGGACAGGGAAATTCTTTGCTGTCGTCACTTCTCCCTGTCAAACTGTATCGAAATCGCCCAAAATTGGGTGGAGGACAGAGATTGCCGGCGCGGGTGGGAACTATTTTTTTCTGGCCCTCGCTGGGTCCTGGGAGTCGGGACTCCTGGGCGGGAAAACTGCGACAACCCACACCAGAAACAAGCTGGAGCTAACAGAATAGCCTCAAGCTCCACCGCGTGGCAGCAAGGACTGTGGGAAAGGGCTCAGCTAGAGTCTGCTGGACCGACGTCGAGCCAGTTCGTCTTGTTCCAGGAAGCTTCTGTTGGCTGTGGTTCATCCGCAGCACCGGCTTCAAACCAGGGAAACCCCTTCAACACAGCATTTGACCGCAAAGTTGGGAACTGGGCGGTCCCCTGGGGGCCCTGGTGTTGGTGCTTTTCGTTGGCGCCGGTGCCAATCGTCGCCGCTTCGAGTCAGAGCGCCAGAAGCACTCAGGCCCAACTGTGGAGAAGCCCTTGTCTTTCGTTTCTTCCCGTCCGCGACCGTTGCAATGGATTTGCCCTCGAACGGGGGTCAAGAGCCTGGCAAGGCCTGCTGGGGTGTTGCGAATTCGTGCGGCGCGCCAACAAGTAAGCTCTTTACGGTACCAACTTACCAACGTGGAACTTTCATTCAGATCGAGTTTCCGTTGCTGTAGTAGCGCTGACGTCCTAATGCGCCCATGTGTTGCGATGCCGGACAGCAGAGCAGTCCTGCTTGTGTGAGTCTCCGATCAAGGGCTTTTTCTGCGTTGTGCCCCGACGACAGTGTTTTCTTCTTCGTGCCGCCATTGAAATCTCGAATGCGACAGCCACCCCTCCCCTCAACGGAAGGTCTACTGGCTACGAACGCCCTAGAACAGGTACTCGACTGGGGCGTGGCCACAGAACAGAGAGAAACAACGCTCTCTGAGTCTTCTGCCAGCTGTCTGGATGAGACAGGATGGGCTGGCTCCTTTGGGCTGCGCTGCGATGCTGAAGTCTGGCTGGTGGAGTGAGTCTCCGTGTGCGCGGAAGATCCACCTCCAAGGCCGAACCAGACGAGGGTGTCACTCAAAGATGACGAAGCATTGCTGTCTGGTGCGTTGTGCCCTTTTCGACTGGGGGGGTTTTATTTGGACTTCTCCATCAAATGGCTGGATTTACTGCCCGACCTGGTGACTGGGCTTGGCTCTTGGGTATCAACGGCGAAGCGGGCTGACGAACGACACCACAGGCGTCCAATCGTTTGCCGCGCTCTGCGGCTTGCCAGACCTTTTTTTTTCTCTCTCTCTTTCTTTGACCAAAAACGTGTTTTCGTCTTCGATCAAAAGGTTGGGGGTGTGCAGAAAAAAAGAAACAAAAAGAAGGTTCTCAGGATTGGTGAGATGATCGACCGAGAGACAGTACGGAGTGGTCTGGTGCGCGCCCCATGAGGCGGTTGAGGTACTTTACGACTCGGAGCTTGTACAAACCAAACATCAGGAGACATATCCTGTACTTTCGATGCCATCCTAGGTCGCGTAGGCAACTGGGAGCCTTCAATGGTCAACGAGCAGAGTCTGCACACAATGCAGAACCGCCCCCATCGCCCTTCGGCATCGCATCGCCAACGCACTTGTGCCGGAAAGCCCAATCATGGGCCCGACCCACCCGGTCAGGAATTCAGATTCATGCAGTCCGGGCCCGCTCGCTTTTCTCATAGGGCGGGGCCGGAACGGCAATGAAAGTCATCGTTCCATCTCGGACTTGAATGGCTGCTTTCTGTGGCCTACTTGTCCAAACGTGGATTGGTCCCTTCAACTTGTTGAACGAGACCATGTAAGATGGCATCACGATGCTGAGTTGCTGCAGTGTTGCACGTCTAGATCTGTCTCCCCGCGTCTTGCTGTGTCGGTAGGCATGTGTCTGATAAAGCTGCGTACGGATATCTTGGGGTACGATGCCCTTGTCCCTCCGTAGTGGGTACCGATCTCGCTGGAAGAATCGCACTGTTTGCAGGAACTGCGTCACCGAGGTACACAGGCTCGAGATCGCCATCATGTTGTTGTAGTCAAGTCATTGGAGTTTGTTTCCAAGGTGACTTCGACAGACGTGTCTCCATGACAGACTTGTTCTCGCGCCATTGGCTTTGTGTCTCGAAGTCGAAAGTGGTCTCGAACACTGAACAAACGGCTCCGATAGGTCTTCCACATCGGCCATCGGCCAGACGATGTACTTCAAGTACTCGAATTGTACTGTACTGATATGTCTTCCCCTCCATCCTTTCGAGGAATAGTAGATTGCTGCGATCTGACCTCGTTACAGGGCTCCAATTCTGAAGCATCCAAAAGGAATGAGACTTAAAGAAACAAGTGCGATTGACATTTTGCCTGGATGGCGCCGACGCCGTCCTCCACGGGTTGTACGCAACTGCACAGTCCGACTGCATGAAATGCATCTGTCCCACAGGCATTGACACCGTAAACCAGCGCCCACTGTGCTTAAAATCCGTCTAGCGCGAGGACATGCCGAAATGGGTTCGAGTGAGGCCCTCCCGGAGCCTCTGGTGGCTCCGTCTTCTCGAGGAAGCCAGTCAAAGTTGTTCCTCTCCTTGTTCCTCTCCTCATTGAGATGTGGAGCACTGTCGCATCCACGGAATTGAATGGGTCGCCAGGATCCTCGGTTCGGTGTTTTGCGGAGGATGGCTACTTCGTACGCTCCCTATTCAACACATTCGCTGTCAACTGCCTCTGTCCATCAATGTTTGAGTCGGACTGCAATTCGTGCAGAGCTACCGCACCACTCAACGACCGCAATTAAAGACATCGTCACTACCAATCGTATGCAGCGAAACGTGATTTGTGTGCTTAGAAATGCGGAGGCCGGGGAAACGGTTCTGACGAACGTCTTCAACTGTATGTATCCATCAAGATCCCTAGATCTGATGCACGCCACGGTTGCATTTCTAGTATCTTCGCACATCATCCAAGTTGATTAGCCTGCCATTTGTTCAACATGCCGCTCTTGCGCGCTCCATATGCATGGTGCCGAGAGCGGATGGTGCTGCAAAGACTCGATGGACTGACATGCCCATATATCCGAGGCGGACGGATCGACGGGCGGTTGTTGGTTGTGGAGCGAGGAACTCGACACCAACTCGGAGCCACACCGCCTTTTCGCTTGAGGCATAATCCCTCAACGCCACTGTTGAAAACATTTCCAGAGCGTCATATTTGGTAAAAATGTAACATGGTCTGCCGCACTGAAGACGTGTGGTAATCAGAGATAGGATGAACGAAAGCGATATAATACGCAGCGATTCGAGAAGGTGATACCGTCGTGATTGTACCGTATGCGAACGCCAAATCGACTGAATTTGGAGGCTTAAAATGCTGCGACGCCACTCGTTGTTGACATTGTGTGTCAACTCTCCAATGGCCTGTTGCTGCGGGACCTTATCGCTCAACGCTTGGCGACTGTCCATTTACTGCACACCAGCCGGTTCAACTCGATGTTGAGACCTAAGAATGCCGGAGACGCAGGGAGTTTGTCTCAGAGACTTGGACAGGTCCAGATCTGCCTCTCCTAGGCTGCCTGGTATGCGTGACGTTGCACGGTAGGCCACGATTCAAGCCACGATTGTCGTGTAGTAATGTTTCAAAATATACTGCTGGCCGTTCGTAAGACAGGAATCTCAACGTCGGCAACAACCGGCCTATGGTCAGACAGAAAAAAGCCATCATCGAATCTGTTCGACAGCACGCCAAATGTCTTGATGGTGGCCGGGCTCGGATCCTTCACAAACAAAAAGTCGATCCTCTTCGGTTCCTCGTCCGGCTCGTCAAACGACGTGTACGTGATTTCGTTTCCGTAGCGCTTCGCTTTGGAAACCTGAGTTGAGACATCGACCATGCCTGACTCCGGTGCTACCATTGTCTTGTATGCATTGTCATCCGGCGTACTGTTGAAGTCACCCGCAAGCAGGACAGTTGTCGGAGGTTTGCCGTTTGCTCCGTTGCTCCACTCTCGAGCAACATTAAGAAGCAGTTTGGCGCTCTCCTCTCGAGCCACAATGCCTCGGTGATCGAAATGCGTACTCATGACAACTACACGCGTGTCGGTCTGTTTGTCGAGAAACTCTCCGACGGTGACAACACGGTTCAGTACTGCGTCCCATCCCCTAGATGGCTTTCCCGGCGTCTTGCTCAACCAAATAGTTTCATTCCGTTCGCACTGCCAACGTTCAATCTGGTAAAACACTGGTGAAAATTCGCCACCACGCTTGCCATCATCACGACCGAGGCCTATGTGAGCCCAGGCAGGACCGAGATAGGACTGGATGTCTTCGAGTTGCGAGTAAAGGACTTCTTGCAGACAGATGAATGCTGACTCGTGGCCAGCCGTGATGAAGTCCAGCTGGTTACAGAGTTTCGAGCCCCGAAAGCTCCACGGTTTCTCGTTGTGAGTGGGGTTCTCGGTGGCATAACGGACATTCTGGCTCACTAGTCGGAGCAGCATAGAGCTGGCTGCCGATGGCTCCGAGTTGTCAAGCTTTACGAGCATCCTGAACGCGCAATGAACGATGAGTTGAGCCGCGAGAGGAACTGAGATATGTTGTCCAGACAGACTTGGTCAGCGGGAGCTTGACAGTAGGCCGTGGCCGTGCGCCTTAGCTGCGGAAACTAGGTTGACGGCAGAACGCCCAGGGGAAGATGATGGGCGAGAAGAGCAACACCAGGTTCGATATGGAAGAATTGAATGGGGCTGGCTCGGCAATCTTCTGAGATGATGAGATGTCGTTGGATGAACTTGGATCTTTGACGTTGGAACAAAGCTGAAGCTCGCTTTACTTGAGATGGAAAGAGCAGGCATCCTCCTGCCCCATCAATTGCCCCCGGCCCCCAGCTCCTGCCCCCAGCTGTCAAGTGGGTCACGTGCTGATTCTGGAACACGGCGGGGAGGGAAGGAAGCAACAGCCATGGTCCATGGCCCAAGCTCCTGCATTCTTTGGCGATCCGGGGTTCTGCTGGGCAAGGTATTTTCGCCTCTCCCGGACCATCCTTCATGGAATCCCAAGCTGCGCAGCCATCACATTCCGATCCCTACCCACCTCCCTTTTACCAACTTTCCAACCAACAGATACTTGCACAACCACTACGATCCTGTCACTTTGTCAGCTCAAACAAGAGCCTACCTCCCTCCGCCACGGACGCTGGCAATTGGCTTCCAGTCTATCAACTTTCACATTGGCGCCTGGCATTCCTGCTGATGCCTTCACCGCTAGTCGCTGGCGCCAGTCTCAATGGAATGCCTTGGAAACATCCATCTTTCGCAATCTCTGGCAAGGTACTCCGTAGCTCGGAAGCCATCACACACTCCCACCACTATTAAGTCTTATCTCCGCATTCTCGTTGGATGTGCGACCAGCCCTCCCCTCCATCTCAGTGTCCCGAGACTCTGGATGGCGTTCTTACATGAGAATGGCAGCTAGGTAAGGTAAGCTGGGGCAGACAATAGTCAAGTCTCACTGCCTCGCGAGTCGATTACTCACCATCTTAGGATAGATCAGGGAAACCTGGTGTCACCCGATCCCTCCAGCCTTTCCCAAAAAGCCGGCCTCTCCCAGTCAGCGTCTTTCCACGGCGGGCTGATACCGGCACGACGATCCACAAACCAGTCACGTTCTTATCACGGCCCGCTGCCCGAGTTCAATTTTCAAGACGTGATTCAGGCCTCATGGGATGGCAGCGGCTACTTCTCGAGGAGATGTTCGTCCGCTCTTGTCAAATCCAAGTCATGACGCAATGTGTACACAGTCGGGAAAGCAGCTGACTTGTTTTAGGTCAAGACAGGACCTTGCAAAAAAACCAGAACTGTCGTAACAAACCATCGACATTTCCACTTCAATACGGGCCTCACTTGAGCTTCTTCGTATTTCGCGAGTTGTCGGGAATTTCCCGGAGAAGCCAGGAAGGGTCAGAGGCCTCATAATCGAAAGACGAGTGTGCTGCATGCCCATCTCGCAGTGGTTCATGCACCGTGGCGATCCTCCATTTCTGAGGCTGAGGGTGGTGCAGGAGCCGGATGGGTGACTCCCCGAAGCGAGCGTAAGAGGAGCAAGGCTGCCAACTTCACCGAGGAATTATCGAAATACGGCTGCCTTTTGTCCAATCTACAGTACGGAGTGAGGCCGGTCTGTCGAGCTGACTCAAATGCGCCACTTCGAGGCGTCATGCAAGGTACGCCAGCCGCTCTAGCAAGCGTGGGAGGGCGATCAAAAACTTGTCCCTTGCCCAGTCTAGTCGACAGCTGTCTGGCACATTCCTTGCGCGCAGGTTCATGGCCTCGAAAATGCGCACCGGTCAAGCGACGGTGGGTTTTGCACGCTGGGGGAGTCGGCACGTTCGGTTGGCGCTATGGTGGGCAAGGTAGTCATCTGCCTGACTCGGCCTCCGACCAATACGTGTGGTGGTTGCAAGTCTGTCTCAGCTTATTCATATAAGCCGCGGTAGTCGCGCGCCGGTCGACACACCCACACGGAGGAACGCGAAGCGACCAAAAGACCGGATTTCCTACCGTCTGCCAGGGATTGTGATAGATTTCCAATACGAGTCCCAGCCCGGGGCCTCAGCTTACCACCATTTCCGGATGCGTATCTCTGCTTCTGGCTGCACCCCGGCCATTTGGAGACACTGCACTGCTCTTTCTCAGACATTCATGGCGGGTGAGGAGTCACGCTCCTCATAGGCCTCCTCCACGTGGGGGTTGATGGTGGCTGGCTGCCCCGCGATATTGAGACCTCTGCACTGGGCAATGGGCACTGGTGACCACCATCTTCCAGCCATACAAGGCAGCTCTTGGCTGGGTTGATGTGACTGAGCCCGAATCACCAGCCAGCCTGCAACCTTGTCGGTGTGCGTGCGTGCTTGCGTGTGTGTGTGTGTGTGTGTGTGTGTGTGGGTGGGTGGGTAGATGAAGGCAGTGTCGGATAACGTCCGCCTTGCACCTCCTCTGCCTGGCTGAGGCTGCGATGCAAATGTATAAGTAGGAGTTCACCGCCTCGTCTCCAGCTCGTGTTCCTTCACCTAGGTCTGACACGTTTTACAGCATCACATCATTGCTGAAATCAGGGACACTCTGCAACTAACTGCCACTTTCGTTTGGTATACTTTTGAGCCGGCCAGACCGGCGAGGACCTGAATCGTCTCGTCAGTGATTTACTGTTCAGACGCCTTTCCGATATTATCAAGCTCAACACGACTACTAGCAACCTAACAAACACCAACACAATGCCTCAAACACCAAAGACACCTTCACGGCGGGACTCATGGCCACCAACCCTGGTGCGCCTCGCCCCGACAATCCCCAAGGACTACCCATCCCTCGACGACATCGACGAGGACCCCTTGACCTATTTCCTAACACCCGCGCCCGATCTGGAGGACGACAACGAGGACGACATGACCATGATGGACTTTGACGCCGGCATCGAAGACGACAGCGAGCGGGAGATCGTCCGCAGCGTCAGCCCTTCAAGCCTAGACGGGCTAAACAAGTCCAAATCCCGCAGCAAGTCGCCGCCCGTCCCCGACCTCTCGGACCTCGCCACGCCGGACACGGACGATGAGGAGGAAGATTACATCCGCTTCGCGCCGCAGGGGTTCATGATCCCCTTTAGCCTGCGCGATTTCGCCATCGACGGCCTAAAATCCATGGCCAAGTCCAAGTCTCGCCCTTCCAAGCCATCGGACAACAATGTGCTTCTCTCGCCGTCGTTGTTCCCGCCTACTCGGGGCCGAGCACCCGTGCGACCCGGCGGCGGGCGGGGCCGGCAGCGCACGACTTCGTACCGGCACCACCGGCCGCAGCACGTTTGGCGCGAGCCGAGCCCGGACGTCTGGTCTATTGAGGAGGAGACGGAGGAGGAGCTCTTGAGCGAGTTGGGAAGCAGCGTCGGCGCCGTGAGCGATTTGGAGCATGACACGGAAGATGAGACGGAGGAGGATGCGGCGGCGACGTGTCCGGACAAGAGCGGAGACGTACAGGCTGCGAAGCCGAAGAAGAAGGTCCGGTTCCTGTTGCCCTCTTTGGAGTGAGCGAACTGGGTACTGCGGACGAAGCATAAGCATATCACGGCGTTTTCGGTGGTTGGGCACAAGCATATTCCACCTGCATTGGGAGGTTTATCGTCATTTAGTTTACTTTTCTCTTTCCTTCTTCTCTTTCGGTATACGCCGTCCTCTGGGTAGGGGGCAGTCTAGTCTCACAGCATGGGATATGGGAGTTTCTGCACAATACCCGTCATTTCGGATGGTAATTTGGGGTGTTTGGGCTTTTTTTCCATCTTTGTCGGAGGGGGGGAGGAGGGCAAATGGGCATACGGGTATTCGGGGCACACACACGGAATTTTTAGGTGCATAATTGAAGCACTCGCTATGAAGGCAGATTAAACCCTGATCTACACTTTTTCGCAACCTTTATCTTCTGGTCTCTAGTGTGGTGTGATGTGCTACTGCGCGTCAATGAGTTTGACTGGTGACGGGTGACAAGAGATGCAGGACGTGATGGTGTCTTTCTAGTTGGAACAGCTGAGGCTGGTGCAGGCAGGTATGGCACGGTAAGGCGAAGGAGAAAAGTGTCGATGGGTGCAAGCGTGCTCACGCTGTTCCCCTCTCCTCGCAGAAATCAAGGTTTTGAAGAATCGTCTTTCCTGTGTGATGCTAGATCTCGATTGCGGCCCCACACGATATAGCCTCAGCCGGATAAAACAGGTCCTGCGGAAGCTTGCGGAGAGTCTTGCGGAGGAACAAAAGTCTCACTCTCAACAGGGACGAGATTCGGAAGGAGGAGGGGAGGAGAAGGAGGAGAGCGGGACGGTCGGTCCCACCCACGTGCAACTGCGCGGTCCTCGTGATGTCGGGGGCCCGTATGGTTTCGCTGCTACATTATCCGTACATGGGAGACATTTCGCGGGCGCTGTGCTGTGGATGTATGTGTGTGTGTGTGTGTGTGTGTGTGTGTGTGTGTGTGTGTGTGTGTGTGTGTGTGTGTGTGTGTGTGTGTGTACGTGTGGTGATAACAAGTGTGGTTTGGTAGCGATTTCGGGTTATTGGATGGGAAAACAGGGCATGAGAAAGCTTGGCTTGGCTACTTACCTTGATTTGGACCTGTAAGACTATGGTATATATAATAGTTGAAAGAATGGATCGCAATTTGTGATGGGATTTTGGAGAATGGTTGCGGCGGGGATATACTCCAGACCTTGATTTCTTCTTGCCATATTGGAAGTTGTTATCGAGAGTAAACAAACGGGTGCATGTCGAAATTCATGGGACCCCCGTCAATAAGGTGAGGCGTCGTCAATGCTCCCCCCGCCTGTTGCGACTGACAGTTTGGCAGGGCAGTGACAACGACAGCGACATGGGGTGATGGTGAGAACTGAGAAGTAAAGTTACCTATCAACCGCCGTTTCAAGGATGCTCGTTGTCGCATTGCGTTGCCCACGACCACCGACTTGAGAACTTCGAATAAGAATTTGTATTTGAGGTAAGACAGGCGTATTTGGAAACATTGAGTAAGCTGGCTTCTTTTTTTTTTTTTTTTGCCCCTCCCTCCGTCTGTGTCTATGCCCGATGACTGCATTCGTTGGCAAGGATTTACGGAGTATGTGATTCGCGTCTGTCACCAGATTGGTCGATCAAGGGAATGACGGTGGGTTTTATCGTGTTTTTATCGACTCACTTGCGAGTTGAAGGGGTCTTGGTGTCAACATCCGAGATCCGATCTACTGGCAGAAGCGAAGGGCTAGGCGAGTGCTTGGAGATTACTCTTATTCGAGCACTTGGTCAAGGCGGGAAATGATGGACGCGGCGGGATTCCATGAGTAATATGGATAGTCCACCCTTCAAAGTCCGTTATGGGGAGATTGGCGGTTGGCCGTGGGCCTTGGAGAAGACGGCTTCGGGGGAGATTTGAGAGCGACAGACCGGCCCTAGTAGAAAGTAAATAGACGGGGGAAGAGAGATGGAGAGAGAGAGAGAGAGAGCGGCTGCGAGAGTGACAGATTCCCATGTGTTTCCTGGAAAGCACATGCCGCAGCAAGGAAGACAGGGCGAGCAAGGCAGAGAGCAAACCCTTGCATTGATGCTACCTCAGCTACCCACGTCCCGATGCTTCCCATCGAGACCAAGTCTTGTTTTTTTTTTTTTTTTTTTTTGCAAGTTGCGCCTGATCTCCCTGATGTCGATAACAAGGTACGAAGTACTTGGGGGGTCTGGAACCCTCAGCTGCCTCACACTCTTCATCTTGGCTTTTGATTGGCCTCTAGCCGGGATGTCTGTGCTTCAGGCCTTCAACTTTAAGGGATCAGGTTACCTACCTTACGGAGTACCTTAGGTACCTTAGGTCGTAAGTCGTGACTGATAGCGCACCACGTCCACTAAACCTTGTCGACGCACCTCCATAAGGTACGTACAGAACGGCCCCACCAAGCGGTTTGTTTATGTCTAAGCTCCGGCGTCAACATCCACTGGTTACTCCGGCAGTGCCAGCTCAACGAGGCCCTCGATTGGATCACACTTGCTCTCTCCATCCTGCCCTGTCCAGTCCTCGACAAGAAATCGAAAAGAGTCCTGTCGCTTTGATATGCTCTGTCTCTACCGTCTCTACCCTATTCGTACATACACACACAAAGTCACAGACTTCACACATACAACACATACAACGGGATTGTCTGTCGAACTGCTCCTTTTTTTCGCGTGCCTCGCCTCACCTTTGCTCATCCAACCAACGTCTACATACACGGCCTGCAAAGTCGGCCTCTTGATCTGCCACCGTCTCACCGACATACAGCCTCGCCTTCACCTCTTTTCCTCTTTCTCTCTTTCTCGCATTACTCTGACGTCTGACGTCCATTTGCGCTCCCGATTGCAACCCCTCAGCTGTCAACAACAACCTTTCCCTTCCAACTCTACCGCATGCGCCCATAGGAACGCAGCAGATCGTTGAGCCTTAAGCGGCAGCATGCATCTCACCTAAGTCAGTCCTTCCCACGTTGTCATTCGTTACCTCACCCAAGGAAGGAGAGGGGGATGCACCTGTACGACGCCAGCTCGTACCTGTCCACCGCTTGCCCGCAGACCGGACATCTTACTGACCAAGCCTTCGACTGTAAAGACAATGTCTCCTAAACCTCCCGACGAGAAAGAATCGTCGGACGCTGCGGCGGCGGCGGCGGCGGCGGCAGCAGCAGCAGCAGCAGCAACCACCAAGCCCTCCACTCCCGCTACCAAAGAAAGCAATGCGACGCCGCCCACGACTCCCAAGGCCATGCCTGCCCGCCCCCGCGCAGCAACCATGAAGAAACCACCAGAACCTCCGACTCTGCTCGCCGACTTCCTCAGAGGACGCCCCTCTCCACAACGTGTCGCCGCCGAACGCAAGCGAAGAATGAGTCTCGACGCTGTCAAGGCCGAGCTGCGGGCCGAGATGCGTCAGGCTGCCGTCGCAAAAGTCCAGCAGCCCGGCGGCGTCAGGGAGCGCGTGAACAAATGGCAAAAGACAAACGCCGCAGCCATGGCCTCGGCTGATCCCCTGGCACCGCCCAGCGAGCCTACCGAGCTGGCCTTCCCGGGCGACACGGAGAGCGTCACGGAAGAAGACCGCGTACGCATCAAGTTGCGCCAGAAGAGGATGTCGGCGCCAAAAATGTCTACCCCCAAAATCGAGGTACACAATGACGGCCCGGCCGACGAAAAGGACGAGACTGTGGAGGATCTCCCCGGCGGAGAGGCTAAGCTGGCACCCAAGAAGCGAGTCGTTAGCGACGACCATTGGATGGCGCAGAAGAGAAAGAAGAGCCCCACGAGAGCAAAGTCGCCGCGGACCAAAGACGCCAGCCCAAGTCCCACCCCAAGCCCTCTACCAAAGGGGTTCGTGCAGAAGACGCCCATCCAAGCACCCATCTCCAAAAAGATTTCGGATTGGGCAGCAAAGGTCGAGCCGCCAGATCCGCCACTAGTCAAGCAACACCGGGCCGCAAAGTCAACAGACTCGCTTGACGGCAGCAGGATACAGGCAAGGCTCAAGGAGCTTCAAGAGAGGCAAGCTACGTTGCCAAAGAAGACGATGGATGACGACGGCATCAGAGTTACGCCGATACGAACGAAGAAGCTCGATGATGACGGAATCCGTGTCAGGCCGCTCAAGACACCAGCATCAGAGGGGTCCGGCGTCAAGACGCCGAGACCCCAGAGCGCGGGAGCCAAACCCCGCGATCGTAGTCGCGGGGACAGCGCGAGGCACGAGTCGGCGGACCACATCGTGGTCGTTGAAGAAGACGAGTCCGCGATCGAGGTCACAGAGGATGCCGAGTCTAGTGTGCCGGCAACACCAACGCGAAAACCGTCAAAGGCTCGCAAAGTGAGCCACAAAAAGAGGGTCCCGCCACCTTCAGACGATAAATCCTGGATTAGCACCTCAGAATCAGCAGTCAGGACAGGGCTGGACAATTCAGATCTTGCGCCAAGCTCGCTCACCAGCGCCCCGGGCGCGAAGCCACTGGCAGACATTCCCGTAGGATTCTCTGCATTCAGTGAGCTGGATCTGCCCCTCAACAAGACGAGGCAGAAGGCTCAGCGCAATCCCAGCTTCAAGGCTGCCGATGTGCTCAAAAAGGTGGTCACCGGGGGCAAGAAGATCCTGCACGACGCCGTTGAGCCTCCGAAACAGCCCGTCGCCAACCAGCCTCCCAGTATTGAGAAATGGCTCAACGGGACAGTCGATCCGTTCGTCGATGAGCCGGCGAAGAAGGAGGAGTCGCCGGCGCCAAAGAGGAAAGCGTCCGAGAGCAAGCCTGTCGACAAGACAAAGGCGCAGGACACCCGCAGACGATCATCGGCCGAACCCCGTCAGCGAAAGCCTTCTCTTCCCACGCAGACTGAGCTTTCAGAATCAACTGGGCTCACCGAGTCCACCCAGACAACACAGTCAACCGATATGACTCAGACTACGCAATCAACGGATTGGACAGAGTCAACCCTATCCTCCACGGATCTGAGCGCGTCAACCGAGAATGACGAAAATGTAGCACCCAGGAATGCCGAAGAGAAGCCGAAGGAAAAGCCAAAGACACCAACTTCTGCTGGTGCGGCTGGCCTTCGCCGGAGAGCTGCTACGAGAAGCTCGCCGTCTCCCGCGAAATCTGTCAAGAAGCCTTTCCGTGAGATCCTCAAGGAGGCTTTCAGGGGAGAGTCCACCGGCCACCAGACTCCGCCTTCCAAGTACATCAGCGAAGAAGAGCGAAAGTTGGAGTTGGATCAGGAG